CACCCCCCACCCTGGCAAAGCACTGCTTTCAGAGGCTTCCCCAGTGCATTTCCACTGCCTGTTTATCTGCTGGGCAAGCCTGGGAAAGCTTCTAAGAGCAGCGCCAATCAGCTGTAAGGCAGGGAGGGGGAGGGGCTGGAGTGGAGAAGATGGCTCCCGGCTCTTTTCTGGGATGATCGCTTCCCCCCCTCATTGCAAGCTGTGCAAAAATGGGGCATTTGCGATGATGGGGGGGAAGCCATCATCGCAAAGCGATTTTTCCCTATAGGGAACATCGCAATGCGATCGCAAAATCTTCATCGCTATGCGGATTCATCGTTAAATGGGCGCCCGTTAAGTGAGGCACCACTGTATCTTCTTGCAGGTCCCAGCATATTGTTTTGACAGGCCCTCTGAACAATCTTAGTCTGGAGACCTCCTTCGTAATCATTCCACTGACACTAGAAATCATAAGGGATCCTCCTCTACTAGAAACCTAGTAAGTGTCACATCAGCATTCCAGGAAGTAGGTGAGACAGGCAGACCCAACACAACCAGGTCCAAAATAGGTGCTAAACCCAGCAATCACCACCCACAATGGTAACCATGGTGATGGAGAGGGGTTAACAGATACCCAGACCTTTACAGAAACTCATCCATGCCCTTCTTTGTTCACCTTGGTGCCGCCACTAGTGAGAGGATTCTTCCGAACATCTTTCATTGGCACCCGCTGGGCCAAGCTCAGTTTCCCGTTGGCTCCAAAGGCAAAATGGCTGAGGCCTACATTGGAGAAGATGCTTGCTTTGGCAGCCGGATCTGGTACAAACTCCTCCTCTGCAAATAGATGACAGTGTCAAGGAAGGAAGGGAAGTGAGCCCTAGCCTGAGGTGTTCATGCTCTGTGCTGAGGAAAATCAAGAACTACACTCAAGAGCACACCACACAGTCTCATTATAGGAACTGAACAATATTCTGTCTGCAAGCCTTCTTGCGACCATTACAAGCTTCCTATGAAGGACCAGTTTGAGGACAAGAAAGGGAAGGATGACAAGGAAGGGTTTGGCCTGCTACGATCGAAATGCACACGTGCTCTACGACTTGCTCTTGGACTCTTCTCCTGCCAGAACCCAGACAAGTTGCTTGACCTCCACATCTGTGGGACTTTTTGGGGGAATATATATAGGTTGCCTGTTTCTCCCAAAAGTCCTAAAGATGTGGAAGTCAAGCAACCTATCAGGGTTGGCCAAAGAGCAGAAGCCTGTAATGCAGCTGGCATTAAGTGATGTTCTGTATCCAAAACTTACTCCTGAAACTTGCTGTGTGGTTTCAATTTCTTTTATACCCTTTGCTAACTTTGGTTTCTCAACTATATGAAATTACTACATATTCTAGTTTAAAACGAATCTCCATTGACTTAGATCCTGATCTTAGACTACAACGGGGGCAGGAATGCAGGTCAGCTGGTAAACCCGGGGGGGGGGAACTATACACCCAGCAGACATAATTGCTCACCCAATGCAACAGCACAGAAAGATGCTCTCACTCACCTTTCCAAGATGATCCTGCAGTGTCCTTTTTCTCAGTCAAGTTGCTGTTAAAGACAACAGAGTCACAGAAATTTGAAAGCCGCAAAACAGCTGTGTAACAGGGAGTCCCCCCTTCCTAGACTGGGGATTTATGCTAGAATGTAGTATTTTAGAGCTACTGCTACATTTAATAAGGATCATAAATGAGTGCATTATTGAGTGCCCCCCCCCCACTCCCAATGGACACATCCATCTTAAGCATGCAGGCCGAGACACCAGCAGTAATGGCCCATGCTCTCCTGCTGTATAAGGAGGAAGTGCATGCGCCATATCCATCGTGGTCACACACGGTCCAGAAACAGGCACACCAGTTATACAAAGCAGCCAATGCTGCTCTTCACAGAACCAGCCATGGCCCAAGGCCGGGCTCAAAAGGGGTCCTTCCTCAGTGCCAGGCACTGGGGATGGAGTGCCCGTGCCAGGCAACTTCCTAGGCACCCTGCCCACAATGCCTGGCTCTGGGCCCCTGGGCACTGGCCAATTCTGCTGTGGCTTTACCATAGCAGGAAAGCAGCTAGCATGGCTCTCCAGAGGCTGGCAGTACCCTGCTCTGGAGAGCTGGACTGGCTGCTTCCCAAGTCTGGCATTCGCTGCAGCCACAGATGTTCATGCACGGCAGCCCGAACAGAAGTTTCAACCTTTTCGGGCAGGATACCCCAAGCAAGAGAGGGTGGAGCACTAGGGAGCAAAGTGGGGGGGGAGGGGGAAACAAACAGGCATCAGGGAGAGCCCTGCGCCAGATAGGGGCATCCTGACCCATAGGGATACCGTGCCTCCTATACAGTGGACCCTCGACTTAAAGACGGCTCGACTTACAAACTTTTCGAGTTACAGACTTCTCTGGCCACAAAATTTAGATTCGACTTGCAGCTGGAGAATCGACTTACAGACCAGAAAAAAACCAAAATGGAACAAAAATAGAATAAAAACTGCCAGTTATGGGATTAATCGGTTTTCAATGCATTGTAGGTCAATGGAGATTCGACCTACAGACTTTTCGACTTGCAGCCACTGTTCCAATACGGATTAATTCTGTAAGTAGAGGGTCCACTGTATACTGCAGGAATACATTAAGAAACCCAAACAGAAGGACAGATGGGTTTACTCATTGAGAATTGTGGCCTGGCTAGCATCCCCTTGCAGTTCACAAACGGCACAAGCTGTCCCTCCCCAACCCCCATTGGGCATTCAGGCTACCCCCCCCTCACCTTTGCAATGGAACGCCAGTTGTGGTAACGCTGCTTGAACACTCTGCGTTGGGCCTGGCTCCCGAATCTGGACACTTGCCCACTCCCAGATTCTCGGTTGACTGGCTGGGCTTCGTCGCCTCCAGCCGATGCTGATGTCAGACAATCAGGGATATCAGTAAAGATTCTCCTAAGCTCTATTCTGGTGGCAGGAGCCCCAAACACAGATGGGACAGCATCATCACACGCCACGCCCCCACTACCAAAAGACAGATCCAGACAGACACACACTGCCAGGATGAAAGGGTAGCATCCAAGCTTTGGGCAGAGAGGCACAGCCACTGAGATTATTGCCTACAGGTTTTGCCAGAAGTGCAGGTTAAAAATGTGGGTTGAGAATAGTCCATTAACAACATTCATGTAAAGGATTAGAAAACCATGTAAAGATGTAGAGAGAAAAAACAACATTGTTCTTACGGTACATCAAAGATTAGCAAAGAGTGTTACAATACAGTGGAGCCTTGACTTACGAATTCCTTGACATACGAACATTTTGACTTACAAACAGCTCCATTTGCAAAATTTTGCTTTGACATGCAAACGGAACTTTGACTTATGAACAAACAAAGTGGGGAAAGCGGGAAATGGACTTTGGACTGCCTGGTACTTGTTAAAATTGGTTTAAAAGGTGCTTGGTTTGGTTTAAAGCTGCTTGGTTTTAAAGGTGTTCTGTTTAAAAGGTGTTCGTCCCCTCCCTCCCTCCTTTCCTGCCCTTTTTTAAACCTAAGTCATCTTAGGTTTTAAAAATATCTCCCCCTAGTGGTAGACGACAGATTAACCAGCTTTGCATTAGTTTCTACAATGGGAACTACAGTAGAACGGATTACAGTGGTGCCTCGCTTAGCGATTGCTCCGTTGAACGATGAAATCGCTTAGCGATTTTCTTCTCTTTTTTCCCCCTTTCATGTCTGAACATGGCAGTATAATAACAGGAGGCCTGAATTCCTCTCTTCCAAGCCAGTATCAGTTTAACAAGCTGCAGCACCGAGGACTAGCTATTTCAGGCAGTGCCCCTCGTAACAACTGTTACAGAGGAGGCCAATGAGGTCTGCCGGGGTGGGCTGGCAAAGAAGAGTTCCTCCTCGCTCCGAGTAGCTCAAGGCCAGGCACATGTCCCATGGACATCCAGTGCAAGCTGGGCCGTGATCCCTTCCAAAAGCTAGCATATCTGCTGGCATATCACTAAGCACTCATAAATGCCACAGGCAAAATGATTACATTTTGATATTCTGGCACCGGCTGCAGGGAAATACAATTCCAACTGCTGGGTGCTACCAGGATCAGCGTTCCAGGAGATCAGCCAGCCAGACCCCGGGATCCTTCCAACCCCATTCCACATATGTTCATGCGACCTTCGAAAAACAGAGTAGCTTCTAATCAACCATTTTCAATGATTAGCTGGACCCAACATCAGCATCATGGGCTGATCAGAGAAGACAAAAAACAAACAAACCAGCACTGGCTACCCACCTGAGAGTCAAAATTCTTGAATGTAGTTGAAAGTGCCTTGAGCTCCTGGGTGTTCAAAGTGAGGCTATAAGACTGTGGGTGATCTGCATCTGTTGTGGGACAAGAAGACGGAGGAAGCATGAGACATTTCAGAGCAACTTGCCCATGGCCTGAAGCAATGGGTTCAGAGTTCTGAAATAATTCAGAGTTGCACCGAATTGCAACATGGAAGCTACGCAGTCGAGCGTCATTCTCTCATTTATTTTCTCTTCCTAGGTGCCAAATCCAGTCATACCTTTCAATGTTGATCTGGCAATGTGAGACATACAAGCTAGATTTGCTGCTGGAGCACCTCGGGCAGTCTACAGAGAAAGAAGAACATATTTAAGGAAAATCCCATCTTCAATACAGAAATGGAGCCTAGGTGCAGGGTGTTCTATAATAAAGGCACGCGATCTTTGATTTGGTCTACTTTTCCACAGTTTCAGCCACCAAAAATGTATGAAGTTTCCTTAGCTTTGGGGACAAGACAAATGAATGCACAGTCACAACCAAACACATAACCAATCTGATATGCATACAATGTCCCAAGACAGCATGAGACTAGGATCAAGTTTGGATTTTGGAGGGTAATCAAAATCAGCATTCAGCACCCACCTAACCAACAGACTGATTCTGTACTTATGTGCCACATCTTATTATCTGCATACAAGAACTTCTGCAAATGCACCCCACCCCTAAAATTATATAGGAAGGCACAATGAAAAACAAAGGGGCAAAAATCTATACATGCTAGGGTAGGACTTCAGATATCCTTTATTAAACACTATTTCTCGAGTCTTCCAAGAGCCACTCTCAAGTCTGAATTACTGCCCAAAGGTTTAATGTACCTAGATCTCTGTATTTCAAGCTAGTGGACAAATACAAAACAGCTCAACACACAGTTACAAAAGATCACAATGTGCACGATGGAGACTTACCCCAATGCTGGCGGAGCACAATCTCCTCCCTCTCAGAGGGACTCGGCGGGCCAGGCTGGGCTTCTGTGTCGTGCTCAGCATGTGGTGAGTCAGCCCAGTGTTGGACAGTATGCTGGCAAGAGCTGCCACATCCGGCACAAACTCAACTGCGCTTGGTTCTGCTCCCCAAAAATTAGGTATCATATTTAAGACGCAGCTTATTACAGTTAAGAAAACATCAGTTTGATTTCGAAATATCCCAATTTCTCCTGCTTTGGGGTCATCCCAGTCAATGATGAGGGTTATTAAACACATGTACACCCAAGCTTCAGTTTGAGGTATAAAGCCTTAGGGTTAACAGTGAGTTCAACCTCAGATAATATGTTCACAACCAAGAGACAGGTTAGGCTGAGAGTCAGACAGGCAGGCCCTGCTTACAGCCGTCTAAATGACCTTTATAGCTTCAGGCACATGTTAGAAACAATCACGTTTTCTACATGATTCCAGACTGTTCGTCCTACTGTTACTCCAAACCGCGGTTACTCAGTGACTAGGCTCACACTTCCTATACCAGAGTTTACCATTACGCAAACATACCTAGCTTTCACTTTGGGCACATAGTGTAGCAGCAGCTTCTCCTTCCTTTATAAATTATCCATTTTATGGGCTAAAGTAAATGAGTCAGCTTTAGAAAGGATAGTTGGAAGCTGGCTTGTTTTCACTTAACATTCTTCAGGCTAAAAAAGCTTGTCCAGGGGACATCAAAAGTTGCACCTAATGAGCAATGTAACCAAAAGCTCATGGGCTGCTTTCTGTGACCATGGCTGAGAAGGGAAGGGCAAGTGTGGCAGGCCAGGATGAATCTGGGTTCTTCTCACAAGGCCAAACTATGGTTTAGCAAGAAATGAGGAATCTGTAGCTTTCCAGATGGTTTTGGATTACAACTCCCATCATCTTGGACCACAGGCCATGCTGGATTGAGCTGAGTGAATTGGGAGTCCAACAATGTCTGGAGGGACATAGGTTCCTCACCTTGGCTTAGTTCCGCATTGGAAGCGGTCTTGCATACAGAACACAAGAAACATTCCTCTCTGGGGTACACCTTCCAGAATCCCCCAGCCAGCATAGCCAGGATCGTGCTATATTGGAAAACATAAGAGTTGCAACCCAAAAATAATTTTTTAAAAAATCCCTAATCTTCTTGAAACCTTCCCTCTTTATTTCACCATCAGCATAACTCAAATAGCAAATGAACTGAAACTGACTAGTTCTGATAACTCCTTCCATCACATTAAGACTAGTTGGAAAAGACGGTTCACATTCATTCACCTGTATCAATTAAAAAATAATAATAATTTCTGGGCCGGTGTAATAACTACCTTTGCCAACAGATGTGTTGCTATCATTCCTCTGACCAGATGTGCTCAGCTGCACCTCCCCCAGAGGTTCTCTGGAAAGGCTCTTGGGCAATAACCCAGCCGCTGGTTTCAAAACTGCAGCACCCAAAGCTGAAACCGTTGGAGGCATCTTGGGATCCTCGACTGCTTTGGAGTTCGGGCTGGATGGGCATACCTGCAAGAGAGACAGGAGGATTTGACTCCAGCCAACTCCACATGCCTAGGTACCCAAAAGGGGCCACCAAATTAGAGAGAATGATGAGTTTGCTTAAGTTTGATAAACAGCCAGCCTCTAATTCCCAATGACAAGGCCAATTCTACTCTACACTCCATGCTATACACCTCCCAGAAATACCACAGCCAGCAATGATGACGGTGGAACTGTAGGAGCTGTAGTCAAAATAAGAGAGAACATCTCCAAACTCTGTTTTTCTTACCATCAGAACTCGAGATTTCCAATATTGGCTCAGGAACCCCCACCCCAAAAGCAGAGCCCAAGGTCTCTCTCAGAAAGCAATTCCAATATCTCCAGTTAGTATCATCCATCTTCCAATGCATTCAATTAACTGAGCTGACACATAATGGCCAGGTGCAGGCTGGCTGGGTAGCTCAATGAACTGGAGCAACTGGCTGCACAGCCAGAGGCAAGAGTTCCCCAATGCACCTCCCAGGAGAAAAGCCAGCCTGTGTGGCCTTGGGCAAGCTGCACAGTCCCAGGATGCCCTCAGAAGAAGAGAAAGCTAAACCACTTTCTCCATACCTAGGAAACCCTGAGAAGGACTGCTATAAGTCAGAACTGATTAGATGGCACATAATTACAGTATTCTCATTAGCATCACCAAGGTGCACAAAATCTTTGTAGAAACTGACTTAAGTTAGCTGTGGGGTTTTTTTTTAAGCGAGATCCTCTTCTGCTCAGCATTGTCCTATAGACTGTCCACGCATCTAAACTGTTTCTCATCTGGTTAAGTGAAAAATCCTACTTTCACCACAAGCACAGTAGAAAGATAATCTTCAGTCCATATTCTGATACACAGTTCAGGCCTACTAACAATTATTCAGAAATACTCTACACTAAGAGTCTGCATAACAGGCATATAAGTCACACCCTTCTGGGAGCATCATTTCCAGCCTCCAGCAAGCATCCCTCAAACAGGTTTCCCATTTCTTCCCATCAGTCATGAGGTCTAGAAACTTTTCCTTTGAAATAGTGGTCAAGGGAGGTGCAGTGCAATGGCCTCTAGAAAGCCACACGGTCTGCCTCTCCACCTCTGGAGGAAACTAGATGCGACCACACGCAGGGTGCAACACAGGAGAAACACATTCCCAGAACAAAACTGAATGCAGTGCTTTTCTAAGGCCAAAAGCAGCTCGCTCATACTCACCTGCTGAAGTGGACTCTGCTGCTGTGATTGCTTCAACTCTGGTGGGACTCGGCTTTTGAAGAGCACCGGAATTTTACTGCTGCTCAAGGAACTTGAGACACGGGGGGCGCTCTCCTTCTGCCCCACCTTGGCTGGGGTCTGTCGAAAGGGCAAGGCTCCTAGCAGGTTTTCCTTCCCTGCTCGAGCCATTTAGAATCACGATCCCAATCCTATAGCTGAATCCTCCGTTACTATTTGTACCTAAGTATTAAGAATAATTAGAAGAATTTTAGGGCAAGAAAGTGAAAGGCCAACAGCGGTCTAAAGACCACTGCCCACGGCACCGTTTGCTCTCGAAAATAACTGTTTGGTTTTCGTTCTTTTTAGCTGGAATGGCCAGCTGTTTGCTTCTTTCCTACCCCAAGACTTTCATATTTTTGCTCAAAATTGCACTTGGGACCTTCAGGCCATGTACTGGGGCAAAAAAAGTGTTCTTTAACCAATTGCTCAAACCCCAGGACAGCGGCAATCATTCAAAAACATCCTAGCAGCTCAGCTAAGAGGTTCCAGAAGTGGGACTACTTCCGCAATAAGCATTCCCAGAGCACATCACAGTACAGGCTGCAGGCCTAAAGCCACCATTTGTAAAGGGTTGTGTGAAGACAGAGGTGGTACAATGCAGCCTGCTCTTGGACGGAGCTTTCTGCTCTTCCTCCTCCATTTCTTTCTTTACCTGTGATGTCACAGGCAGCCAAAATCTCATTCTACAGAGTCAGAGTGTGGAAAAGTTACTTTTTTTTTTACTATAACTTCCCAAATTTCCTAGCTGCAGCGGCCTATTGCTTCCAAGCCTCCCTTGTTCATAAGAATGGCCAGCTACAGCCCAAAGAATGTAGTTTGCCTGTCTGTTTTGACACAACGCACTGCTCACTGTATTCCACCACTGGGGAAGATAGCTCTAGCCAAGCCTCTGATCATCTTCTCTCTCTCCTTCCTTGGTAATAATAGCCAGTTGTGGATTGTTTGTGATTATCATCGTCCCTCCCCACGCTCGCCAGCTGCTCACCACCTTGGACATGCTTGCTTCTTTAGTTTCAGACCTTGACAAGCACGCTTGCTTGTAGGAGTTACAAAGGAAAAAAAAGTTTTAATTGCTGTGTCTTGTCATAGCATTACAGTGGTGGTGGACGCCACACTTAACAAGAGTTCTCCATTCCCTTACAAAGACAAGAGCCACCTCTGTTTTGGAAATAGGAACCCCCGTGCCTCTTAGCTTTTACTTCCAGGCCCCTTGCTTCTAAGAGTGCCACCTTTCCTTTAGACCCCTGAACCAATTCCTTAAGCTCCCCAGTGAAGACAACTCCACAGGGCTTCATGTCTTCCAACCAGATTGATGCTTTTTAAAAAAAACACAGGAGATGATGGACCAAGCAAAATGGCTATCCTGGACACTCAAGCTACAGCCCTTCCTGGTCTGAAGTCTGTATCTCCCCTTACACTCCACAGAGCCCCTGCACATTTCAGAGCTTCATGAGCGACAGAAGTGTCAATGTTGCACCCAGGGAAAATGCTGGGCCCTGCAACTGCACAGCTAAAAAGCCAGTCTGGCCAGAAACATGGCAACGTCCGTTTTCCTCTAGCACACAGCTTGGGCTATACTCCCTTATGCTCTGTTTCTTTTTCTCACCCTTGAGGAATTTCCTCTTGCCACTGGACCCTAGTTCCTGCCTCCATCCTAGCCACCCACGGGCAAACCCTGCACATTTCAGAGCTTCATGAGCGACAGAAGTGTCAATGTTGCACCCAGGGAAAATGCTGGGCCCTGCAATTGCACAGCTAAAAAGCCAGTCTGGCCAGAAACATGGCAACGTCTGTTTTCCTCTAGCACACAGCTTGGGCTATGCTCTGTTTCTTTTTCTCACCCTTGAGGAATTTTCTTTCCTTTTGCCACTGGACCCTAGTTCCTGCCTCCATCCTAGCCATCTTTACTGCAAACATCTTTACTGCCCGGGAAACCTCTTTCCTAGATCTACATAATGATGAGGCACAACACTTGTATATGTATTAAATATATCCTTGTGTCTCTTTAATTTTTTTTTTAAAGGCCGTATTCTCAGTCTCAAGTTTGGGACTCCTTCCAACCAGATTGATGCTTTTTAAAAAAACACAGGAGATGGACCAAGCAAAATGGCTATCCTGGACACTCAAGCTACAGCCCTTCCTGGTCTGAAGTCTGTATCTCCCCTTACACTCCACAGAGCCCCTGCACATTTCAGAGCTTCATGAGCGACAGAAGTGTCAATGTTGCACCCAGGGAAAATGCTGGGCCCTGCAACTGCACAGCTAAAAAGCCAGTCTGGCCAGAAACATGGCAACGTCCGTTTTCCTCTAGCACACAGCTTGGGCTATACTCCCTTATGCTCTGTTTCTTTTTCTCACCCTTGAGGAATTTCCTCTTGCCACTGGACCCTAGTTCCTGCCTCCATCCTAGCCACCCACGGGCAAACATCTTCACTGCCCAGGAAACCTCTTTCCTAGATCTACATAATGATGAGGCACAACACTTGTATATGTATTCAATATATCATTGTGACTCTTCAATTAAAAAGAAAAACAGCCGTATCCTCGGTTTCAAGTTTGGGACTTCTTAACATGACAGTGGTTTATTTTTATAGCAGGAAAGCTGTACCATTGTGTCATCCATCTTAAATTTATAGTGGGAGTAGGAAAAAAATTGGCACTGTGGATATTTTGGGACTACAGCTCCCCCATTTTCCTAATGGGGGAGGATTTATTCAATTACAAGCATGATTTCAGTCAGTAGAAAGATTTTATTTAGTCAAGCAAGTTTTCCTCCCTCAAAAAGTGTGTTCTAGCTTGTTCTGATCTCAATGCAGACTTTTCACCATCTCCTTGCCCAGACTGATTCCACCTCTGGGAATCCTCTATTCATGCAGACTGGCCAGCATTTGAAATTCCATACAGTCGAGGCCTCAGTCCAGGAACTGTTGGATCCTATTTGGAACACTTAAAAATTATTACACTGGCTAAAATCCTGTTGAGTAAATTGAATCTGCGTAAGAGTGACATCATCAGTAACAGGGTGAGATTGCCTGCTTCAATCCAAGCAGCTGCCCCACTCGTTCACAATTCATCTGCAGTCACATTGCAAGGGAGCTGAGCAAGCCCTAGGAACAAAACATGGAGTCTTTAATTACCAGCAATCTGCCACTACCATCATATGGAGTGGTTGAGGGGATGCTGTTAGCCTGTTCAAATGTTAAATTCATCAAAAGAGGCCTTTCTTTCAGTCTCACCACCTTCACAGGTGCACTTGGTCAAGACATGGGAGGTGATCTTCTCTGTAGCTGCTCCCAGACTTTGGAACTCCCTCCCACAGGAGGCCAGACTGGCTCCATCTATATTGTCTTTGGGCAAGCAGGCAAAGACCTTTCTCTTCAGGCAAGCTTTCCCTTGGTGACTTGGCTGTCTGAACCAGAACACTTTAATTACTGGCAATCTCCCCGCTGCAGTGACAGCATCACCTTTACGCAGGCATCATTTACTCAAGAGGATTCTGGCTTACATCTCATAAAAAGAATTAACATACATTAATAACCTCTATTCTACAATTAAACATTCAAACTATAAGCTATCTTAAATTAGAACTATCATCACATTGGGATGTTATCTAAACGTAACACATTTTATAATAATTAAAAATTGTAAACCGCTCGGAGAGTGCTTGTAGCTCTATGGGGTGGTATATAAGTCAAATAAATAAATAAATAAATAAAATAAAAATTTTAATGATAAAGATTTTAAAAATCTGACTCATTTTTTTAAAAAAACACAATTTTTTAAACCCAGTATTTTTACACACTCTTATATTGGCCAGTTTAGATACAGTCAATGGAAAATACAGTCTAAGTGGTTCTTCACCTTTGTTACTCAGGTGTTTTTGAACTGCAACTCCCAGAAACCCCAGCCAGCAGAGCTGATGGTGAAGGCTTCTGGGAGTTGCAGTCCAAAAACATCTGAGTAACAAAGGTTAAGAACCAAGTGGTCTAAACTATCTGGCAAGCTAATTCTCTTCATCCCAGTTTACAGGTTCTCCTCTTGTGCAGCATGAATCATTTCTCTTCCGCTTAAGCTTCCCTTTACCTCAGAAAAAGAATCCTACCTAACAACAACTCTTTTTTTTTTTTGGTAAAATAGATAGGGAAGAGGGCGAGGACAGACCTTGCTAAATGAGATTTCTTCATTAACTATCCTGAGGGAAAGATCCTCTCCTTGCCCCAACTTCACCCTCCACATAAGTACGGAGCAACAAAAACTTAATCCACCGCCGCGGTCTTCCCTGCCATTTCTAGAGCATTTTCGAGAAATAAACGTAGCATGTTTATTTTTGCAAACCCTACACCTACCCTCCAAGTTTCTGCTGCTTCTCTCTTTCCCCCATTAAGAAGCGCCATCCCCACAAAAACTCGGGCAGACAACTTTGGCAAGCCGGCCGCCAGACCACCCACCCCCTACCGCAAACCCCCAAGCCTCCTGAAACGGGGAGGCAGACGACCGCCACCCAAACCAGCCCAACTCCACGCCCTGCTCTGCTCTGCGGGCTCACCCGATCCCGGGCAACGTTCTCGCCCGCATCGTCGCCAGCCAAGACAGTTGCTCACTTCCCTTCTCCTCCGGATCCAGCCTTCCAAACTCGTTCATAAACCAGCAGAGAGCGCTGATTGGCCGCTCCGGGGCCGGCACGTGGTCCGCGAGGGGGCGGGGCTCGGACGTTGACGAGCGTGACTGGAAAGAAAAGGGCCGGAAGCCTCCGTTCGAAAGAGACAAAGCCGGGGCGGGGGCCGAAATTGGTGGCCTTTTCAGTGGCCCGGGAATTAGCAAGGGGGAGAACTTGACCGAGGAAGTGTATGAGGCACCATGTTGGGAAAGGGTGTGGGGACTGTTTTTTTAAAATTATTATTAGTGTGTGCGTGGTTTTCTTCTCCCTCGGTTCTGGCGCCCAGACTGGCTGAATAAGCAATGCCTTAACTCAAACATCTTCGAATAAGAGAGTGAAGGAAGGGGGGGGGGAGAAAAAAGAAGAGATTTGGGCACCGATCCACAGCGTTACGGGGTTGCTCGGTGTCGGGTGAAACGGCTGCTGGAGGGCAGCTGGAGACAAAGCCTGAAGGAGGAGCAGTGTAGTCTCTCCCCAGGAAGCCGAACGGAGTCTCCCTGGCCCATCCAAAGAGTTGCTTTAATCCGGCATGGGAGGGAGGTGTGATTTTGCCCCCTGGGCTGGAAGTCTTCAAATAAAATGGAATAAAGCATAGATTTCTTTTGCTGAAGATAGGTCTCCTGGTCCTGGTCGACCTTATGCAAGAGCTCGGAAAATGCCGTTTTGTTGATATCGCAGATAAGTGACAATTCTTTTTGCATTAAAATGTGGCTTTTTATTTAAGGTGCAGTAATTTAATGCAGCCTTTTAGTGCTATGCCCTCACGGGGCAGTTTCAAATATCTGAAAAGCTTTCCCACTACAATTTAGTCATTAAGTGGTGTCTGACTCTTCCTGACCCCATGGACCAGAGCATGCCAGGCCCTCCTGTCTTCCACTGCCTACGGGAGTTGGGTCAAATTCATGTTGGTTGCTTCGATGACACTGTCCAACCATCTCATCCTTGGTCGTCCCCTTCTCCTCTTGCCTTCACACTTTCCCAACATCAAAGTCTTTTCCAAGGAGTCTTCTCTTCTCATGAGATGGCCAAAGTATCGGAGCCTCAACTTCAGGATCTGTGGTGGCCTTAAAAACAAAAACATCATTTAGAGGTATGGGAACCTTAAAACATGGCAAAAATGCCCACAGCATTACCAAGACTAGTGGTTCTCAACCTTGGATGGGCAGGTGTTCTTGGACTAAAGCTCCCAGAAGCCTTCATTGCTAATTGTGCAGCCAGTAATTCTGGGAGTTTCTGTAATCCCAGAAACATCTAGGCACCCAAAATTGGGAACCACCGCCCTAGATAACACAAAAGAAGTTTCTGGATCAAATATTCTAGGGACAGGGTAAGTGATGGGGTGCTTAGGGACAGCATTTCGGCCCTTGGGGGCACGTACTGTCTATCCTGATATAGGTGCTACAGGTACTTAACATGTATTTGTAGTGCTACCATGATAAGATTCATTAACATATTGCAAGAGTGGGAACCCAGCATCTTTCTGCTTTTGCTGAGCTACAACTTCCCATTATTGAAGACCATTGGCCATCCTGCCTAAAGTCCGCGAACAGCATTCTTACATAAGATCTTAAGATTTGGACTCCTAAAGTTCTCCCCACTTCTTTCATGGTGCTTATAGGAAACTATGTTCAACCAGTATCAGTTTCTTAGGAGCTCATACCTGGGCATGGTTTGTTGTTGTTTTTTAAAGTATAAATTAATGTTGGGTTTGAGGCTGAAGATAGATTTAGTACAAGGACTTTCCACAATTTTTTTGGAATTTATCTGCATCAAAAGGGACTCATCTGTCTTTGTTTTGAGACTTGAGGTCTTCAGTGCAGATTCACAATCCATTGATCAAGCTCTTTTCAGTGTCCCTTGGGCACAAAGGTACATACAAATGGAAAGCCAATATTTCAACTCTTTCCTCTTATTCCATATAGATTGGTTTTTACAGCCCTATTGTAGTGTGCCGACAAAGGTCTGCATAATCAAAGCTATGGTTTTTCCATTAGCGATGTATGGAAGTGTGAGCTGGACCATAAAAAAGGCTGACCGCCGAAGAACTGATGCTTTTAAATTGTGGTGCTGGAGGAGACTCTTGAGAGTCCCCTGGACTGCAAAGAGAACAAACCTATCCATTCTGAAGGAAATCAACCCTGAGTGCTCACTGGAAGGACAGATCCTGAAGCTGAGGTTCCAGTACTTTGGCCATCTCATGAGAAGAGAAGACTCCCTGGAAAAGACCATGATGTTGGGAAAAGTGTGAGGGCAAGAGGAGAAGGGGACGACAGAGGGATGGTTGGACAGTGTCATCGAAGCTACCAACATGAATTCGACCCAACTCTGGGAGGCAGTGGAAGATAGGAGGGCCTAGGATGCTCTGGTCCATGGGGTCACGAAGAGTCAGACATGACTTAAAGACTAAATTGTAGTGGGAAAGCTTTTCAGATATTTGAAACTGCCCCGTGAGGGCATAGCACTAAAAGGCTGTATTAAATTACTGTACCAAGATGGTCAGACAGTGTCATCGACGCTACCAACATGAATTTGACCCAACTCTGGGAGGCAGTGGAAGAC